TCCATGAAAGAGTTTTGACTGAGGACATCTTGTTCTGTTGTAAGTAAACATCTTCATCCTGAATGTTTGGTCATGGATGAGTACTGATGATGAAGTCGTTTTTCATTAGATCATCTCAACTCTACAACTCTATTCTTATGTGGGGTCTGTTAACAAAATATTTCATGAACCACAGAAAGTTTTTTAACAACACTTGCAGAAAATAATAGATTTATTTAGAAACTAATGCATTTTGGAGCCAATCCATTTCAAGATGGCTGCCACAACCACCTGACCCTAGAAAGTCCAAACATGGATTCACGTTTAACTTAACTCATCTGCTTCAACTCAGTGTGGTGGTAGCTGAGAGTTCTGCACAACAGACACTGCAGTCATCGTGTGTCACTGAACAGTTCATTTTGACACTAAGATATTCAGTTTGTGAAGACCTGCTGCTTCAACAGCAGATAGCCCAGAGTTTTATTTCCCTTACCCCAAAAATGAACCACATGTAGCTGTTCCACAATTTTAATAATGAATAATAATAATAATAATATATTAATTGCAAATAAATGACAAGATAATCACTTTTAGTCGCTGAAGCAAAGAAAACAGAAACAATAATCCGCCAGTCTTCAGCTGGTCCTCAGCAGCAGTCTGCAGTGAAAAGAACTCAGGTTAGTTATTAAAGTATTGATGGAGATTTGGTTTCATGTAGAGAGCTCTACCTCGGCCTCACGACGCTGCCCTGCACACTTCTGTACCTCTGGTCGCTCTGGATAGATGTAATATCTTCTTTAAACGTTCCCTCGTATATATCTGACTTACGCTTCATGTAACTCTCACTTTCGTCTCTGCGAGGAGAAAAAGACAAGAAACTCATTTTATTGTGGATTTTTGCAGCAGCCGGCGTCCCGTCTGCTGGAGGACCTACCCCAGCCGTTTGCCCATGATGGTCTGAAGGAACTTCCTGGCAGATATCTGACCCAGAACCTTCCTGTAGCTGTTCGTAAAGATGGCGTCGGCATGGCGCTCAGAGCTGAAGTCAGAACACACCGGTGACGTTACTGAACGAAAGAGTTCTATTTCGTACAGGCTTCATCCTTTAAGGCTATTGCTAGTGGGTTTATCCCTTCGCACGCAGCGCAGCACTGAAAACTTTAATCCACGCCCACCTGCTGTGTGGGCCTCACCCCCGGTCCGTATAAATGATGGTGAGACCGGGTAATCGGCTCCCATTTTTTCTTGAGCAAGCAACTAGCACTGCTTTACAAGAACACGATGTCCAGCACCAGCACCATCCGCCTGTGCCCGTCCTGCAAGACCGGCTACATTTTGAGTTTCAACCAGCACGAAATCTGTGAAGGATGCCTGGGTCCCCGCCACGCCGACCTCGCCTCCTCCTGCCGTCTCTGTGACCTCCTCCCTCCTGAGGAGAAGCAGAGACGAGCAGCCAAGTTCAAGGCTAACATCGAGGAGTGCCTCTCCGTGACGGGGGACTGTTCGCTGGACGACGCCTTTGCCTTTTTTGACGCTGAGTCACGGAGCAAATCGGATAATTCCTCCAGAAAAGGCGACGTCAGCAGCAGCAGCCCCGCTGCTCATTCCCTTCTGGAGAGCGTAGTGCAGAGCGGATGCTCCCCCCCACCCCCACACACACACACCCCACCCCCGTCTTATCAGCAGAGTTTACATGCTACAATTCGCAGCTCAACCCCCACCGTTCAGAGGGATTATAGAGACAGTTCTGTCATCTCCAGGACATATCTCGTCTCTCCACTCAGAAGTTCAGGAATTACTGATAAAAAATGTAATTTCCAGGGTTCCTAGCGAAGAGGAAAACACAGGGTTTTACTCACGGTACTTCCTGGTCCCGAAAAAGACCAGAGGAATGAGACCCATCCTCGACCTGTCCATGTTCAACAATTCGATCATGAAGAGACAATTCCACATGCTGACAACCAAACAGCTGTTGGACAACATTCACCAGAATGATTGGTTTACCTCCATAGATCTAAAAGACGCTTATTTTCACATACCAACCATTCCAAAGCACAGAAAGTTCCTGCACTTTTCCTTCCAAGGGACCCAGTACCAGTACAACAGGCTCCCATTCGGCTATTCCCTCGCCTCACGCACATTTTCATAATGCGTGGAGACGGCTCTGCAGCTGTGTAACAGCTGTGTAACAGCTGCAGAGCCGTCTGCTGATCTGCTGCTGCTAACTCGATCCAGGCAGGAAGCTGCTGCACAAACCAAAGCACTGACATCACACTTGATAAACCTGGGTTTCGCCATAAACTGGAAGAAGAGTTCGGTTTTCCCGGCCCAGCTGATCGTTTATCTGGGAGTTTATCTAAACACAGTCACTATGAGAGCCCGCTTATCACAGCCAGGAGACAAAGTTCTAAAAGCTCAGCTCCGTCACGTGAAACCCAGCAGAGTAATAACGGCTGTCTCGATCATGAAACTTTTGGGTATGATGTCTTCAGCCCACGCTGTGGTTCCGCTGGGCTTAATACACATGAGACACCTTCAAAGATGGTTCGCCCACCTGCGCATAGAACCGGTGCGTCAGAAGAGGCAGATGATCTCTGTGCCCCCCTCCATGGGAACCAACCTGAATCACTGGGGAAATCCTCTCACTCTGTCAGAGGGAGTTCCTATCAGCAGGCCTACGTCACACGTCTCGGTTTTCACAGACGCGTTCCTGTCAGGCTGGGGAGGACGTACCTGTCTTAGGCGGTGGGGGTGCTGTGTCACCTCACACATCAGCTCATATAAACATTTTGGAATGTCTCACAGTTTGGAATGTGATTCAGCATTTTGCTCCCCTGTTGCGGGGAGACACACAGACAACAATGTGACTGCAGCTTACATAAACCGGCAGGGAGGCGTGTGCTCAGCCCAACTGTTATGCATTGCGAAACAGCTGCTGTGTTGGGCACACAAAAACCTGCTCTCCATCAGAGCAGTGTACATCCCCGGCATCCTGAACAGAGGAGCGGACATAATGTCCAGGGGCGGTCCTCGCCACGGAGACTGGAGTCTCCATCCCGAGCTGATTTCTCGGATTTGGAGCAGGTTCGGCCGAGCAGCAGTAGATCAGTTCGCCACACGGGAGAATGCCCATTGTCAATTATGGTTCTCACTGAGCCCACGGGATGACCCACTGTTAGGAGTGGATGCTTTTGCCCACAGCCCGTGGCCAAAAATGCTCCTTTACGCGTTTCTTCCAGTCTTTCTTTATCACGGTTTCTGAACCGAGTCTGGGAGGAAGAACTGTCAACAATCCTTGTAGCTCCCGAGCGCGTGAGCACTCTGTGGTTCCCAAACCTGTAACGTCTGTTATCGGGCTGACTGTGGAAACTGTCGTGGAGGGACAATGCTCTCCTCCAGGTGGGGAGAGTGATCGGGAGTCACCCAGAAATAGGCCAGCACCTTTAGGTCTGGCCACTGAGCAGATACGCTTAGAGAAAATTGGTCTCTCTCAGGAAGTGTTGCGCACAATCCAAGACTCACGAGCTGCTTCCACCACTGCTCTGTACACATCAAAGTGGACAGCTTTTCAGTGCTGGTGCACGGAGAAAGGTGTAGAGGCCATCTCATATCCACTAGGTGGCGTGCTGTTCTTTCTGTAGCAGCTTATGGACAGAAATTTAGCTTTTGGCACAATTAAAACTTATGCTGCAGCTATTTCTTCCTGTCACGAAGGCTTCGGTGACAGAACAGTTTTTAATCACCCGCTGATGAAGCATTTCCTTAAAGGTGTACAGAGACACAGACCGGTGTCACACCCACTAGCTCCACAGTGGGACCTAACAATGGTTCTGCGAGCTCTGATCAAAGCTCTTTTCAAGCCTTTAGATCAGGTGTCACTTAAATTCCTGTCACTTAAAACAGCCCTGCTGTTGGCTTTGACATCAGCAAAAAGAGTGAGCTATTCATCTGTGCTCTCTGCTGCCCCATCATGCCTCAGGATTCAAGCTGATGGCAGCTCAGCTGCGCTGAGACCTAACCCAGCTTTCATACCAAAAAACATCACAAGTTCATTTAAATCGAGAATGATAACATTGGAGGGGTTTTATCCCCCCCTCACAAATCAGAGGAGGAAGCATAATTTCATCTCCTCTGTCCTGTGTGCGCACTGGCATGTTACATAGCACGGCTCCTCTGCGGCAGACTCAGCTTCTGTTTGTGCATTATAGGGACGTCTCTGCAGGTCGCCCGTTATCCACTCAGCGCCTTTCACACTGGCTGTGTGAGACCATTTCTGAAGCTTCCAGGGCATCAGGATTGAAGCCTCTAGAGAATCTCAGAGCTCATTCCACCAGAGGAATTGCATCTTCTACAGCTTTGGATGGAGGAATGACAGTAGAGGACATTTGTATGGCGGCTGCTTGGACATCACCTTGTTCATTTATTTGCTTCTATCTGCGTGATGTTTCTGTTTTCTCCATGACACATTCTGTTCTTAGTGTTCTAACAGAATGAATCTTACTTGTTTCATGGAATTTCGGTTTAAACTCACATCTGCCTGCATGCAACTACAGTGTGAGATATTTATTATCAGTCACAAGTTCATGACTGCTGCTTTTATTGTTACTAATCAGTTCATGACTACTATTACCAATCAGTGCATTTGATTACTAATCAGTTCATTTGTTATTAATCAGTTCATATTGAAGAGTTGTTGACTTGCTCTGCTTACTGTTACACGGTTACAATTTGTAACCTCTGTTCTTTTCCATTCTCAGCAGCAGGACTGCTTTCAGCCTTCCCTTTTTTCCCGTCGGAAACCTTTTCTCTCCGGGGCGCTCCTATGCATGGAACGCGTAATTACGCAGCGCGCTCCTGTGCATTGTACGCGTAATTACGCACATAGAAGGCTTGAGTGATGAAATGTTTTTTGGTGCAAGCGGGCGCTTGATATTGTGTCTGAATGGACCCAGTGAGGCATAGACTACTTTGTACTTCACCTTTAACCCACTAACGATAGCCTTAAAGGGCGAAGCCTATACAAAATAGAACGTTGGTTACGTACTATGACCCCAGATTCTATGAGTATAGGCACAGCCCTTTAAGATCTGGACCTCACTGGTTCCTAAATGGCTGAAGAAAATAGCTATTTGGGAGCCGATTACCCGGTCTCACAATAATTTATACTGACTGGGGGTGAGGCCCACACAGCAGGTGGGCGTGGACTAAAGTTTTCAGTGCTGCACTGCACGCGAAGGGATAAACCCACTAGCGATAGCCTTAAAGGGCTGTGCCTATACTCATAGAATCTGGGGTTACAGTACGTAACCAACGTTTTATACCTTTCAGCGGAGAACAGTAAATTACTGAGAAAACACAAATAAGGTTAACTACAAAATGTTTAGATAGATTATTATTTTTTATTATTATTATTGTTGACACTCAAAAGTCATATTATCACTTGCTGCTATGAAAGGTAGGCGATTGTATAATTGCCTGTGTGTTTGTTTGCCTGTTAGCAAAATATCCCATGAAAAAGTGGACAAATGTTAATATAACTGTCGGGATTAAAACACGTCTGCAGCTGATTAAGCAGCCCAATTTAAAATGGCTGCCACAGCCAACTGACTTTAGAAAACATATCAGGGGCAATAACTCAGTCAAGTGTATTGAACTAAAACATGGTGCGTTTGAATTTTTATGAACTATTACGTTAAGAACTTCTACCTGTTAGTAAAATATGTCATGAATCACTGGATAAATTTTGGTAAAACTCTATACTTTTGGCAATGTAGTATACTGTATATATATAAGTGTATCTCTTGTGCCGGTCCCAAGCTCGGATAAATGGTGAGGGTTGTGTCAGGAAGAACATCCAACGTAAAACATTTTTGCCAAAACTATAATGTGAGTTCATCAAAGCAAAACTATACTGGATTGGTCGAGGCCCGGGTTAACAACAACCGACACCAGTGCTGTTGACAAACAGGGTGCCTGCATAAATTGTGTTACTGTTAGTCAAAAACCACAAGGAGGGAAGCGTATCAGGATACAGAGGGA